CATGGCTTTTACACTGTAGCATAAATGTCATTACATTTTACCCCGTGTCATGGCTTTACACCGTAGCATAAATGTGACAATAAGTGCATCAGATAGTTTTTATGTTTTAATAAGTACTACAGACACTGTGAGATTAATAGATACTCATGTTGAATGTGGACTTGTTGAATTGACTTCTGTGTTTTTATTTCAATAAAGAACACAATGACAGGTACTTACGTATTATAACAGCGCCAATAAATATACTGCAGCCAACACGTAGAGTGAAGACTATTTTCTGGGATAATAAAAAAAAACAAGAATATGCATGACATATTAGAAGTAAAATGCGTTGCTCGGCTGAACGTTGCTAAAGTGGTAAACTGAGCACAAGAATCAGAACGTATTTGTTTGCGAGATTATGTTGACATAGAAGGATATTTCTTCTTCATTCAACACCGAGGCTAAGATTACGTGGCGCTTGACAACAATTAACACACTAAATATAAACGATTAAAGGTGACATCTGCCAGTGTTGTTTCATTTATGACTTGCCAAGGGCCCTTCTCATAGCCTAAGGTGGTTGTGAGAAGAATCTAAAGTGAAGCTAGGTTTGTCTGTAGTTTTGCCGATGGCGTATGACTCAAATAACACTATAAAATGTTATCTGAGCTTACGTAGACTTGTCTCTGGTCTGACAAAAGACGCATTGTGACTGGGATAATAGGAACACCACGTGATAATCATGGAATGCTTTGTAATGCGTGATATTTGTTCCGTATTTCCGGGTTCACTGAAATCCAGCGTACACTTCGCCACCAAACTAGTTGTGACTTTTTAAGACTAACATTGGAATAAGTAAATCGTGGAACTCGCTATTGGATGTAATACGACTTTTGGATGTATTTTACCATCTCCCTTCTACATCAACTAGTTGTTCTTCTTGGTTTCGAGATTTTCTATGCGGAATAATAAGCTTGGGGGAACATCTACATGTTGTTCTTCTGGAGGCAAAAATTCAAGAAAGCTACATTTACTCAGAAAATAAATGATTAAACCAAATGCGCACGCTTCCTTACCTCGCGGTCTCGCATTCCTGGCAAAATGACAAAAAACGAAAAAGTCAAAATAGATATTGTGTATATCAATCCAGCAAATAGTACGTCAGCAGTGACAGCAGTCCTGGCTTCTGGATAATATGTTCCGTATCCATAGTCACGGTAAGCATCGAAAAATCCAGTCGGAGCCATGGTGTATGACCACACAGTGTGTACTATCACCGTAAAACACCGTTAGTGCATGTAGCGCCAGTTGAAGTGTCACGTGACATACCAAGAAATCATGAGCGGCGTCAGTTATAATGGCAGGTACACTGAAATTCGGCTTTAGTCTGTGATGTTCAACTCCTAATTATGTACAGGTCAGGGCTGTTCAATACCGGCCATGCGCTCACCCGGTACACATATATTTAAGAGGGGAGGCATGGGGGGGGGTAGCTGGTACGGTTTTACGGGAAATAAAAAGGGCTTTTCACAATTTACGAAGAAAAAAAGACGTTTTTACAGTTTACAGTGTTAACAAATGGAACATTTAATGGTCCGAAGAGCTCTCCGACTCAAAGTCTCCACCATTGCTGGCTGTGTGAAGAGACGCGTGCGCATATTACCCTCGTAATGCTCTTCATTCGGTTAGAGGGCCTTTTACGTCTTGACACTCAATTTTGTAGTGAATTGTGTCATCTAGTCGTTTTACAGTTTCTAAAATGTAATTTCCCTGGATTATTCTTCACGATTTTTTTTATTTGGATGTGAATTTTTGTACGTACGAGAAAAATGACACATTTTTACAGTGTACGAAAAAAATATTTGATTGATTACGTTGTACGTCTAGCCTGTGATTACAGAATACGGAATTTATTTTTTCTATTTACGTTGTACGAACAAAAAAATAATGCAATTACGTTGAACGAAATAACCCTGCCCCCCCCCCCTCATTTAAGCAATGTGTACTCGAAATCAACATGTCTGGGTATTGTTCCATTCGTACTTATACGCCATCAACGACGAAGCCCATCAATAACAATGCGAGTACAAATACACACACAAAACATGTGAATATTGATACAACAATTAAATAGAATCGTAACGGAACACTGTGAGGGAATCTGATACAAATAATACGAACTTTATAATATGCAACTGTCACAGAGAGCGATTTAATATTATACATATCCGACACACAGTGCGATCTAGTACCAATACGCAGCCCACACAGAGTGCGGTCTAGTACTACCGGGTAATACATATCCGACATAGAGTGCGATCTAGTACCAATACGTAGCCGACACAGAGTGAGATCAAGTACCAATACGTATCCGACACAGAGTGCGATCAAGTACCAATACGTATCCGACACAGAGTGCGATCAAGTACCAATACGTATCCAACACAGAGTGAGATCAAGTACCAATACGTATCCGACACAGAGTGAGATCAAGTACCAATACGTATCCGACACAGAGTGAGATCAAGTACCAATACGTATCCGACACAGAGTGCAATCAAGTACCAATACGTATCCGACACAGAGTGCGGTCTAGTACCAATACGTATCCGACACAGAGTGCGATCAAGTACCAATACGTATCCGACACAGAGTGAGATCAAGTACCAATACGTATCCGACACAGAGTGAGATCAAGTACCAATACGTATCCGACACAGAGTGAGATCAAGTACCAATACATATCCGACACAGAGTGCGATCAAGTACCAATACGTATCCGACACAGAGTGCGGTCTAGTACCAATACGTATCCGACACAGAGTGCGATCAAGTACCAATACGTAGCCCACACAGAGTGCGGTCTAGTACTACCGGGTAATAGATATCCGACATAGAGTGCGATCTAGTACCAATACATATCCGACACAGAGTGAGATCAAGTACCAATACGTAGCCCACACAGAGTGCGATCAAGTACCAATACGTAGCCGTCACAGAGTGTGGTCTAGTACTACCGGGTAATACATACCCGACATAGAGTGCGATCTAGTACCAAGACGTATCCGACACAGAGTGAGATCAAATACCAATACGCAGCCCACACAGAGTGCGATCAAGTACCAATACGTAGCCGTCACAGAGTGGGATCAAGTACCAATACATAGCCCACACAGAGTGCGATCAAGTACCAATACGTAGCCGTCACAGAGTGTGGTCTAGTACTACCGTGTAATACATACCCGACATAGAGTGCGATCTAGTACCAATACGTATCCGACACAGAGTGGGATCAAGTACCAATACTTAGCCCACACAGAGTGCGATCAAGTACCAATACGTAGCCGTCACAGAGTGTGGTCTAGTACTACCGGGTAATACATACCCGACATAGAGTGCAATCTAGTACCAATACGTATCCGACACAGAGTGGGATCAAGTACCAATACGTAGCCCACACAGAGTGCGATCAAGTACCAATACGTAGCCGGCACAGAGTGAGATCAAGTACCAATACGTAACCCACACAGAGTGCGATCTAGTACCCACACGCGCCCGACTCAGAGTGCAGTTTAGTACCAATACGTAGCCGACACAGAGTGCGATCTAGTATCCACACGTACCCCACACAGAGTGCGATCAAGTACCAATACGTAGCCGACACAGAGTGTGATCTAGTACCAATACATAGCCGACACAGATTGCAGATTAGTACCAATACGTAGCTGACACAGAGTGCGATCTAGTATCCACACGTACCCCACACAGAGTGCGTCTAGTACCAATACGTAGCCAACTCAGAATGCAGTTTAGTACCAATACGTAGCCGACACAGAGTGCGATCTAGTACCAATACGTAGCCGACACAGAGTGAGATCTAGACCAATACGTAGCCGACACAGAGTGCGATCTGGTACCAATACGTAGCCGACACAGGTTGCCATCTAGTACCAATTAACGATAAGTTATCTTTTAAATTTGATTCCATATTTTTAAACCATTTGCTTTTCTGGTCTTTGTTGACTGTAAATGCTTCTTTTAGTAGGGTGTTTTTGAGTGCATTGCACGGTTGAAATATTTAATCATTTGCTTCTGAATAAATACATCTGTAGGGTATCTTCCTAATTCACTGTAGATGGCCATTTTGTATATTAAAGGTCGTTGCCCCATGATTGGATACTTCTCGGTAGGTATAAATTGAGGTCATTGACCGGATTGGTCAATTATGGATTAATATATTCAAAGAACGGAATTGGAGTGAGATTAGACTATGATTGGGCAAAGAAAGGTAAAGCACCAAGCGTTGCGTACAACTTTTCTACTTCTTGTAAATAATTTGTACTTCTTCTGACCTCCATGATGTGACCATATATCACGACTTCTGTGTGTGACTGATCTAGCGCCCCCCCCCCCCCCCGCGCCGAGAAACTCACCGGACGACACAGATTGTCTAGAATTCATAAGCTAACTTGACTAGTGCCTGACATGGGCATTGTTTAAATATTGTCTGTCTTGTCACTCTAACCAAATATAGTTTATCATATGGATTCCTCTATCGAATCTAAAAGCACGCAATTGAATATATAAATAGAATAGCAAACTACTACGTGAGGCAATCTTGTCAAAGACAAATAAATCTTAACAGTAAATGGTAGGTGGAAATAACATCAACTATTATTGATGCAAATCACACAGAACTAATAGACTAATATGAGCACACAATTCTGCAAAAAATAAAATATATATTTTCAATACAATGGAAAAAAAAAATACAGAAAGAACGTAGGAGAAAAACTAACAGAAACAAGTAACCTGTAGAATACTGTGTGGGTAATATTTTTTATATTGATTTTTGTTGCATTTGCAGCAAATAGTTACCAAACAATGAGAAATCTATAGGATTGAATATACCCCACAGCTGGCTTCACATGCATTGTTCATAGTTCATATGGTGCTTACACCAGGATTTAATTACAGCACCTAGGCGGTATGTGGTTACAGCTTAATGTTCGAGTAATCGCAAGAAATTGACATGACAATAGAAATTCATTAAAGACTGTCACTCCCATGCAATTAACAGCGAGTGAAATTCCTGGGATTGAAACATATATTTTGAAGTCACTGATGTAGGCAACGAATAACTGCAAGTTGACATAAAGACGAGGTAGTTTATTTAATCAGTGGTAAACTAGAGGCTGAAATTATTGTTTATTTCAATTTCTCCTGACGTCAAATAGAATACACTGGTGAAACACGGTAGTAACTGTGGGTGAAAGGATGTTTTGGGGTGTAGTTTACATTGTATATGGAGTGTAGGGTC